CCTTTGTGAAGTCAAAGCCCTGTTTTGTGCTACTTTCTAGAAATACCCATTACATTTCACAAGTAAGACAAAGCTATTTGGAACAGTATTTATTGAGCTAAAATCTGATCTACCAAACCAGGACCTGTTTGTTTCACAAACCTGATCGTATGACTCTTCTGGATAAACATGTAAAGATACAGAAAGCTCAAGCTGAACAGACTCATGGGCAATACATACTATTGTTTGGACAGAAAAATGAAACCAGGTTAATATTAGCACCCAGGCTGATTTTAACTTGTAGCTCACTGAAAATAAAGCTTTTGTAATGGGAATGTTGCTACAACCTTAACTGTAACAGCACAAACACTGCTACTGAAATACAGTTTTGAGTAAGCTCCATCAAGGAGTGTTTTGTAAATGAATAATGACTTTGCTTAAAGCCAATCAACATCAAGTGTGTTAGAAAAGATGAAATAGTGCTGGAAGGCAGTGGGAGGTAGAGGAGCCTCAAAGTGCAAACAGGTGCTGATCTCCCTTCAGGGGGGATTGAGTGGCACAGACCTTACAGGCCTGTCACTTCTGATCAAAGCAAGCTCCAAGACCACATAATCACCATCACCCACCTTTTAAAGGATGCCCTGATTTATCATCTGTCAGTGTTAATAACTTGGCTACTCTGTCTAAAATACTTAAGAACATTACACAAGGATAACATTTCAATTTTTTTAAAGAAATGTGTAAATGTTTTAAACTGAAATGCACTGAAGTTCCTCCTTTGAGGCCATCTGTTGTTGGAGACCACCTGTCATCAAAAGACCACCTGAGCACATAATATCCCATCATTACAGAACTATCCCCTTGAAGCCATGGATTTTAAGTGTTAGAATATGAAGGGTGTATGTTACAGACATTGTTGTTACTGGGCTTTTCATACAGTTTGAAGCCATGGAAAGACAGCCATATGTGAATAATGGCTTCATAATAACATACATATGAAATGCTACTTTGGGAAAAATCTGATAAGAGGTCTGAACATTCCTGGACTGAACTCCTCACATCCTTTCAACCATGGTGCTTGCACTGTACTGTTCAAAGTGTCCTAATACGTCATACCTAAAACTAACCCTTGAAACTACTGAGCTTCATTTTTATTTCTATTTCTAAGAAGCATTGGCATTTCACTGAGAAACAGGACTCAAATTATCGTAAATAGAATTTTGTGGGTTTTTTTCTGAATCCCATTTTTCCCTGCTGATCTCATACCCTTACCTCATTAATCTCTCTTTAGTAAACAAAAGTACTCTACCAAGCTACCCGTGCCAAAAAAAAGGAACTTTCTGCCTTTCTTCTACCTGGCCCTAACATATGAATCTCTACCTGAATGTTGAGACATAATCTGCATCATCACAACCTGCAGAGTTTGAGACAATTTCTACCCTCACCGGTAATCTACAGCTCCGACGGGAGAGAACAGGGCACTTGTACACAAGCCTGTGGCAAACATCTGATTCTTGATTTACAGTGTATGTATACACTAACAGAATGATTTTTTTTGAGATTTTTTTATGATAAATGCTTTGACTTTGATAAAATATCCTTTCCAGAAGGACATTCTGGACTTGCATTCCTTCCCCAACAAGTTTGCTATGGAGTGACTGAATTGTTAATATATCCACATATAGATACTTTTCTTAAAAGTCTACTGATAAGCAAATACCCAATAGGCCTTGACGGTACCTAGAGAAAAATGCTATAAAATTCAACAAATAAAAATAGAACATGATTTTACTAAAATATAAAATTACTGTGAAAAGTAAAGAAGTTCAATATAGACTATTTTTGTGATATTTTCTTAAAGACTTTTTGGTATTATTATCATCATCATCATCATCATTTAACTAATGTGCAGACTTCTAAGACAAGAATAAAATTCTCTGTTAAATTATTAATAATGTTATATTAAATCACTGAAATGTTGTGAAAATAAGTATATCACTTTCCCTTAACAGTTGTAAGCTTCCAATTCCTTAAGTAGCAACTCAACTTCAGTATTAAACTGTTAAGACTGTTAGGAGTTATGGGACAGTAAGAAGAACAATTTCTGATTTAATTAATTTTTAAGACGTCCTTAAAGACAGTCTTTATACTCTGCTGCATTTACAGCACACTAGTCCTGATGCAATGAAATCAGCCTCATTATATACTTAAAGAATCTAGTTTGCTTACCAGTAAAAAAACCCCAAAATTCCTGAATAACTGCAAAGCTGAAATAAAATCTAAATTCTTATTTTACAGTTTAGCAAGAATCTATTTGCAAAATGATGCATCTAGCCGAGCATTCATATTTGGCATTTTCGTAGAAGAACTCGCAGTTCTGCTCTGGTGACAATGAAGGGCCTAAGCTGACAACTGATTAAATTCAGAATGGCAGCAGGAATTCAGCCACTGTTGAATGTCTGTCTTCATTATTTTTCTCCTCCAGAATCCTAGTAGCAGACTGTAAAAATACATGATCAACAATGAAAGCAAATCATTTTCTATAGTCTACCAAAAAAGTGAGATGTTTATTTCAGTGCCTAATGTATTTTAGAGTGAAGCCTGAAACCATTCTCTAAATAATTCTGTGTCTAGTAAAACCAGCACTAACATTCACGACAGAGATGAAATTTGTGTGAAGCAGATACGTTACTGGCAACGTGACATCCATAATAACAAAACACATATTTGAAGGATTCCTGTAGCAATGTCATACACAGATTATTTAAAAACTTTGTATTTCTTGGGATCTAACGTAGTTGATCTTAACTAGAACATACACAGATGCAAAGGCATTTATTCAGTAGTTTCAGAAGTGGATTTGTTTAGTGCAATGTCCTACTTTGGCTCCAGCAGGATTAACTTCCAGGGCATCTAAAAGCTGTGTATCAAACAGTGGCACATAGGCACAAGGGAGGAAAAATATATTTCCTCTTCCCCCAAAAGATAAATTTTATATTGAAAGCTGCTTTGCCTATGTGCATTTTAAGACATAAAGATCATTAATAATGCCTGCAACATCATTTTTGTCATTCAAGTTCCTAATCATTGCTAGAAACATTTAAAAAGACTACAAGAAGGCAAAAATTCATCTGTAGCACTGCACAGATAAATTGAAAAACCAGGCCACTAAAAAAGATCCTTTTGTTATAAAGTTCCTAGCCACAAGGTGACTGTCACAGGGATCCTCACTCTACCAAAGTCCATTAAGACCTCTCTTCTTTCTGTGATGAGATACCTGATAAAGGGTTTTCTAGAACAGCCTGTGTGAGAAAGTGAGGTTCTATTACTATCGCACCAGGTGATCACACAGCCTGTTAGTTAACTGCATGTAAAACTTCAGGTTTATACAAAATCATGCTCCACTAAAAACTTTTTGAAAATGTATTTACAATTTTACCTCTGTCAGATAGCTTTCCTAAAGTAGTATTCAAATTCTGTATTTGTATTTGCCCTCTTCTTTCTCCCGATCCTCCCGAAGTCTTTTCCCAAATAATAGTAATACTTTCAGTAGTGTTAGAAGGGAAAAAAAAACCCCTGAAGAGTAAGAGACTGAATTGTATTCAAACTGTGCTGAAGTGAGCCAGCTATCTTTAACATGCTGAACATACCCTATGCAAATTTTAAAGGGGTGTTAACCAAGGATCATTGTTGTAATCTCCGTGCTTTGTAAACATGGTACTACTCTACATCACTGCAGCTTTTTTACATCACTAAAGCTTCTTCCCATTCAGTTTTCTCAGTTGCAGAGGTTCACAGAAAGATGCAACTTCAAAATCCATTTATTTAATTCCAACTTGCAGTTTCTTTTGAGTAAATTATTGTTGTATCTGCTTATACTTGCAGGCAAGTATAACAACAACTATTATATTCAAAGTGTGCTTTTATCAAATAATTGAGAAAACAAGTTTATTAACCACAAAGCACATCAGAGAAAGTTTAGAACACACAAAATTATCAAACTAAAGAACATATTTTATTTTTAATAAAATAGTGGAGCATGAAAAATAATTGTATATTACAAATATATACAGCACAAAACTGTGCACCCCCGGCACAGTAAAGAGCATCACTCTGTACAAAGCTTCCCTTTGCAGAATCTAGTGCTTCTTGATCTATTCATAGTGAGAATTTGTTTAACAATAGAAAGAGTCAATAAGCCCTTTGGGTCTCTTTGAATTGATCCCCCCCCCTTTTTTTTTTGCACAAATCAGTCCAAACGTGTATAACATTGGCTTGATTTCCATTAAAAAGCAACAAAATGTAACACTAAAGGGTTTCTGAGGACTAGACCTCTTAGTTCTTTTGTTAAGAGATTTCTTTTGTTGTCTTTATGTACAGCAAAATACTTGTTTCTCTTTTCATGTCATGGTAAGAAAAAAAATGTATTGCACATTATTCTTATTCACAAAGTTTGTGTCTGGTGCAGGAAGTTTCTCTTTTAGTGAAAGAATATTGCTGAGCATTATAGATTGAACCTATTTTTAGGCACTCCAAACCCACTAGGCTGAGATGAGTTATAAAGGATTTCTCCGCCCCCCCCCCAAAGTTAGCACGGAAGTTGCTTTCAGAGATAGCGTACTTACTGAGGATAGGCCTCTCTGGGACCTTAGGTTCCCTAAAGAGACAATGCTCACTTGGGCACTTTTAAAATTAAAATAATTGCTCCATAGAACTTGACTATACCTTGTTACTCAGAAACTTGTACGAAATCCAGCTCAGCTATGTGAAAAAGTTAAACAGGGTGTTGGTTTTTTTCTTAAAAAAAAAAAAAAAAAAAAAGAAAAAAAAAAGAGGGCTGGATGAAGTACTTAACTACAAATTAGTAACAGAAGAGACTGTTTTAATTCACAATATTTCTTTCACTGAAAACCTTTCCATAAGTACATTTACCTTCAGTTTTTCACCAGGTCCTGAATTCAGCGTGATACATTTTTTGCCTTGAGATATTAAACTGTTCTCTGACAAAAAAAAGCACCATTTATTTTTTAATTTCTGACTGCTACTGCGGACATTTGTAAGTCTGTAAGGTGAGATATAGTCTTTTCTAAAACCTGGTCACACACAAGTGGGTGGTTGTAATGTCGACTCATATTTTGCAAGGTGAGTTTTCTGTGGATGTTGAGGTTTTTTGTAGATTCCGCTACTTGTAATAACACTTGCAGGTTTTCTCCTACTTCTCTTCTTTAATCTTCGACTACAAACATTTTGCCAGGACTGAAGAGTCTTGGAAGTCCAGATCCACATACCACTAGTAATGCCCACAACTAATAACATAAAAATTTTGACCATAAAAATTTCTACTGCTGGAATAGAGTTATTCATCATGCAGTCTAAATTTTTAGTCTGATTGTTCATCTTGCATTTCTGTTGAGTCGCCACGATTTTCCAATAATCCATATTAAGTCTTTCATAAAAATAGCAAGCTATCACACAAGTTGCAGGCACTGTATACAGGACTGAGAAGACACCAATCCTGACCATAAGTTTCTCCAACTTGTCAGTATTTTCTCCACCTGTTTTCATCACCCTCCTGATATGAAAAAGGGCCACAAAACCAGAAAGAATAAAAGAAGTGCCAATGATTAGATAACAAGCCAAAGGAATGAGTACAAACCCCGTCAAGGCATTCACATCCATGCTTCCAACATAGCACAACCCTGTCAGCTCATCTCCAGCCACCCTCCTCATAACTAGGATCATTATGGTCTTCACAGCTGGAATGGCCCATGCTGCCAAATGAAAGTAGCTACTGTTTGCTTCGATTGCTTCATGCCCCCATTTTTTCCCAGCTGCTAGAAACCAAGTTAAAGTCAAGATTACCCACCACAAGGAACTTGCCATACCAAAGTAATACAGAACCAGGAACACAATGGTGCAGCCAGTGCTCTCCAGTCCTTCCTGGATGACATAGAGTTGGCCGCTGTCCCTATCACAGGCAATACTTTCAGCACCTGAAAAGAGGCGAATAATGTACCCCACTGAGTAGACACAGTAGCACATTGAGAGGAAGATAATGGGCCTCTCGGGGTACTTGAAACGCTGAGGGTCTATCAGAAAAGTGAGTACAGTAAAAGCACTGGAGAAGAAGCACAGAATGGACCAGATGGCAATCCAAATGACAGCAAATTGTTTGTCATCCTTGCTCCAGTAAACATCAACCCCTGGAGTGCAGAGCGGCGCGCAGGAAGCACTCTTTTCCACGTGGTGGAACTTGCCAGGATTTTCACAGGAGGTTCTGCTGAGGCTGTCCTTGTGCTGCTGCAGATCGTGGCCACTGCTGGGCCTCTGTGGACGAAACATGGGTGGCAGCATGCTGGATCCTCTGGGTGGCTCATCTGATCCGTTGTTGGGGGCTTCCATGCAGAGGTAATTAGGGTCATTCTTGTTGGGCAGTTTGCTGCAGTCTAAGGAGTCTGGCCATTTAAAATTGAACTGCTCCATAATAGGAGAGCATTTCAGCCTCGCCTGCTCGCACATAACCCTGCAGGCTGGGATCGGTGTAGAAACCTGCTCTGTGCACATAGGGGCATAGAGGGAGCAGAGGAAAAATTTCAGGTGGCTGTGGCAACCATACTCCACCAAGGGGGCAAACTCGTGCAGCTGAATGGCAGCTTCCCTTTGGTTTTCATGCCCCATCAGGTTAGGCATCCTCGTCATGTTGTACCCTATATCCTTGCACATGGGGATTTCTATCGGCTGGCACCTCCCGTCACCGGGGCGGTCAATGTCTATGGAGCTTATCCCCGTGCAGAGGCCGGCCAGCCAGCCCAGCACCAGGAGAGTCTGCACGAAGTTCCTCGCCGCTGGCCCCA